CAAGAAAGGGACAGTTGACCGGATTAGGAGCTCGATACAGCTTTGAGTCTCAAGCGGTGAGCGATCAGTCATTGACACGTGCACCGGACTTTGGGTTCATGATCTCCACTGTCAAGCATTCAGCATCATTCAATGGCCTATGGGATAGCCCTGTGTTTGACCCAGGCCTGCGCGACTCACACGAGATTGCACAAAGTTCGTTGCGCTTTGCTGTGCAAAGTTCTGCCAAGTGTCGGTATTGCCATACTGCTGCTCCGACAAGAATTTTAGTGCCATAACCATCATTTCCTCGTTGTACTGCGTGTATCGATAAATCGGCCTGCTGGCTGGCGCCGGGTACGGCGGCGTCCCGGGCGGTTGTAGAAGGGTAAGATGCACCGATCCTACTCTTCCGGGCGGCGATATCGTGAGCATGGAATTGGGAGACAGCACTTGGGTGGGTGAAATTTGGTCGCCGAACTGCACCTGAATTCCTGTGACGAAGTTGTCGCCAAAGATGGCAACTTCAGTTCCTCCACTGACTGGGCCTTCATTCGGTGTGATTCTGGTGATGGAAGGGTATTGCACCTGGTTGGCATCGCCGCCAGCAGAACCAGGCGGTGCTTGGAACACCTGCTGCGGCCTCGATCCAACTGTGTTTGTGGGCGTCTGTATAGGATGTTGCCGAGCATAAGCCGCCATGTTTGCGCCTCGTGTCTGCAGCACGGGCGACGATGCTCTACTGGGTACCGCAGACGATGGATGTGAAAAGTATGCTTGGTTACCTTGCATCCGAGAAACGTCTACCTGCGGTTGACTGAAGTTGAAGGGCCCGCTCTCGTTGGGCGTAGGAGGTCCACTGCCAAAGTACTGTGCTGGTCCATTGTTGTTTGGTATGGTCATGTAGGACTGATTCATCTGATTTGGAAAGCCCTGTCCGGTTGGCGAAAATTGTGAAGTCATTGATATTGCGGACGGCACGTTCGATGACGGTGGCTGACTCGTGTCTACTCGTGGAGTCATGGTGAGTCCACTCGGCACCTTTCTGTGGAATGTTGATGATTTCCGTTTCTTGTTAGGTCCTGTTTGTCCTGCGCTGGTAGGCGATCCAGGTCTCGAGAGACTTGTTGGCGTCATCGTGGCAGATGTTGTTTGGGAGGCATAACCAGATCCTGGAAGCTGATGAACATGGCTATTAGGATTGAACTGAGCGCCGTATGCGAGCGCGGGTAGATTTCCAGCAGATCGGGATGAGGTGAAAGGCTGGACGTGTGCTGACATGTCAACCATGGAATGTGACATCGCTAATCCATGTGGTAGGAAGCCTGGGTTCTGGTAAAAGCCTTCGCTCGGCACTGTAGCCGAGAAGCTCTGAGGATGTGTTTTGTGGTCGTCCGTGATGAGAATGGAATCCGACATTTGTTGTGCCACCACATTTCCCTGCTGATCTTTCATGGTGAAGATGACCTGGAAACCTTCCTTCTCGCTCTGGTGTCTGCAATAGCATGCAATGCGCATCGCGGCCGTAACATGCAGGGCTCCGTCTGGCGGAATGTACTGTTCCCCATCAACGCCAGTATCTCGCTGCGAATAAGTTCCAGGATCACACGGCTTAAATGGCAAGTACTCATTCGAATTGAAGACAACAACCCGTTCCGTCTCGAATCGCTCCCAATGCTGCTGTTCTTCTTCTCGTTTCGTTTTCTTCCTGCCTGCGCGTTTTCTCTCGCGTTGTATGCAATTGCTGCAGATTCTGACTTCGCCTCCATTTGCCGTCTTGTCTGCGTCATCTACGTTCTTGGAGTCGTTCTTATCCTCGTCGTTTGCGTCTCGCATAAGCTCAGCTCGCCTTTGTACTTCTTCGTTGTTCTGGGCAGCGGCTCTCTGAAGAGCCTTTTCCTTGAATTGTGGGTTGTGCATTGCACTCGTACAGACAAGCATGGTATGCAGCTCTAGGACCTTTGACTTGTCAAATTCCTCCTTCGCCAGAAGTTTCGACTTCGCTATCGTGTGGAGTGGCAAATGGAGGTATTCTATACCAGCAGGTGGCTTCTCAAGAGTCATTACAACATTGATCTGTGTCTCCACTCGGGACTTGGTCGAAATTGGAGCAATGTGCAAGGGAGAACGGCCACGTCGAGTAATTGCTCGAGAAGGTCCAGAAGGAGTGCCACCATTCGGTACCGGAGATGGGGTGAAAGTAATGCCACCTGGAGAAGTCAGTTGACCTGCGAAATCGCCGGGCCATTGCGGGTTCTGAGCGAGTGATGTATTCCACTGAGCGCTGCTGAAGGTCTCCGGACTATCCGATGAAGGGGTAGAAAATATGGCATTGGGAGAGGGTTGGTTGAACATGAGGTTGGTTGCAGGAGACTGATCGCGTGACCCAGCCATGGCAAACATACCAGGATTGATGGTCTGGACAGGCGAGTCCTGCGAAAACTGTGCAGCATTGGCCATGGTAGCAGCGGGCATATGGACGTGAGCATCCAGAGACATGGCGGTATTGAAGTCCCCGGCCTGAATTGGACTGGATGCGGCGCTGTTGAAGTCAAACTGGCTCATGTTGCTGTCGCCATAGCTCTTCCTCTGCTCTAGGGATAGATTGTGCATGGGCTGTGAGAAGTGGTCGTAAGTCGGGCCTGGCTGCATGTCTCCCATACTCATCTTGGCATCCTCCATCTTCACCTGCGCCTTCCCTGACTCTGTCACCGGATTTGAGATGGGCGACTCTGACTCTGTTTTCCGCTTGCGCCGGCTCGATGTGTCGGAGGCGGAGTCTTGGCTTGAGCTCTCAGCGGAGGCAGAAGCCACCATAGGCATAGGCATAGGCGGCATAGGCATCGCCATCGACATCGGTATCGACATAGGCCCTTGACCTTGGCCAGCCTGCGCATTCGCGGTTGCTTCGGACTTGGAGGGTGTTCGTCGCGGGTCGTCGGTATAGCCGTCGAGGTTCGTGAAGATGCCGAAGGGCGACTCGGCCGGCATCGAGTCCTCGAAGTTGGAGTTGTTGAACATTTCCATATCACCCCATTCGCCCATGCCCGACCTCGAGTCCATCTTGGCAGCAGTGCCTGCGGTCTAGAGGCCCGAGGGGCCGCACACTCCCTGCTCACTGCTTTTCCCACGCTGCCTCGACGTGTACTGACGGCGGCGGCCGTCGGCGCGGAGTGGAGCTGCTGGAGGAGTGCGAGAGCAGCTCCGCCCACTGTCACCGTGACTGCGCGGAGCAACGCAATCCCACGGCGACGCTCTTTTTTTTGGATCCTTAACGGCGCATAACTCTTCCGGGGCGGCGCGCGAGAGACAGCCGGGTGCCTGCCTGCCTGGGACGGTGGGTGTCTGCAACGGCAGATGTGTGAGGCACCGCTGGCTGCCAGCCTTCCCGGACGCACTGTATAGTGTTTCCTGCTAGCAACAGTCGCTCGTGCTGTGCGTTGGTGGTGGTGGTGGAAAGGGAGGGAGATAGACGCACGTTCAAGCACGTAAGCCGAACGCGACCACGACCTGGTCAAACTTAGTTTGCAGCAGAAGCAACAGCGTCGAAACGAATGTGTCTTCCGACGCGGACAGCGACAACAAGAAGGACGAGCAGTACTGCACGCTGTACGTACTGTACTGTGAGAAGGCAGCGAGTAGTGCCCGTGCCGGTGCCGAATCATCCACGCCCTCGAGCCTGGGCCAGATTGCCCGCCTGAGCATGCACTCGCCTCCCCACCTTTATTGCTACCTGCTGCATTCTGCTGTAGGATGCATGGGCCTGAATGACCGACCCTGATGCGCTTTGGTGCTACATGTGATTATGATGATCCAGTCTGGTACGGAGTACATCTATCTGTGTGGACACAATGGCAACTGCTCGCGCCGGCAATCATCAGCCTCAGCCTCAGCATGTGCTCTGCTCTGCTCTGCTATGCCGCCTGATGTCTACCAGCCAGCAGCATTCCGCACTCGCGCTATCTCTGGAACTGTCTCATCCGTCTCCGCTTTCTTCTCCCCGCGCCGTCTTCAACGCACGAACGTGCGCACGCGAGTGAAAGGAGTGCCTGCAAGTCATCGCAGCACGGCAGCACCCCATCGCAGATGATTGGCAACATGAATACACAGACAGGCGAGGCTGCACTGAACTGAGCGCACTCCTACGCGCGCTGCAGTCTGCGCTCCACCGCTCAGTCCACTTGACAAGCGGTCGGCCCGGCCGAGCCGATGGCCCCCCCCCCCCCCCCCCCCCCTTGGCGGTTGGAGGACGCCGGTAACGAACTGTTGCAGAACCCGCAGGGGATCTCGGCAACCCGAAGCAGCATCGTTCACGGTCAAGTAGTGCGCCGCGGTACGAATGATTGCGAGCAACGACATGTTTATGATTCACAGCCGGATTCTCAGTAATCATCCCCATCAATGGTGAGCATCAACACAAACCATACATACCATCACCGAGCTCCACATCTCTCTCCCAGTGGCTCCCGCTCCCGCTCCCATTGCTGATCGAGGCTGAGATGGACATCAGGAAAAACCCTGCATCCGTTCACATGAGGGATGATGAGGCGTGGCTCCGCAAAGCATTGATTACGTCAATTCGAGAACTACACCGAGCCAAGGCCGTGTGCTGTCACCGCTAGTGCCCGTCTGGGGTAGCCACTCGTTGTCAAGCAAGCATTCCAGCAGCCTCGAACGTCGCGGTCGAAAGCCGAAGAGCACCACGCACCTTCAGGGAAATGCCGTGAGCAAGATACTTATGCCTTCGGTCACCGCTTGCTTTTTCACACGTTTGCCCGTCTCTTTGCAGCTTTCTCGAGTAGAATACCTCATTAGTGTGAGTGGTCACGGTCTGGAGCGCAACATTGCCAGCATCGGAGGTCGCCTCAGAATTTCAGAATTCCACAAGGAGACGCACGTGATGCCAAAAGCCAGCCTTGGTGTCGTGATCAAAAAGCAAAAAACTTTTTGGTCGTGCCGCCAAAGCAGTCGCACGCTTCCTACATCATATCTATCCTACACAACAACTTTTGGGGGGTATCTCAAGAGGCCGCCTTGGCCTTGTACTGCAGACGCCGGATCATCTGTAATCTCTGACGCCAGCTGGATGGATATTCGCCCGTGTCCCCTTGCTGCCACATGAGCGAGAAGACACACGCATTCAATGCCAAATTCCGGACATAACCACCCAATGATGCGCCTGAAATGACCTTCCTTTCGCCGGCAGATGAAAGACTCGGAAAGCCAGGCCGGTTCAGTACGCGCACGTTGTAGAACCGCTCTTTCTTGTCCTTGGTACACGTGAACTCTCGTGCTTGGAGGAAGCTCGTGCGCTCGGATGGCGTGATAACAATATAGACATAATTGAATGCAGACGGGAAGGTGTTGAAATCGAATTCGTGGCCGGACGTGTTGAAGACAATGTTGACAAAGTCGTTGCCGATGTGACGCTTCTTGTTGATGATGGTCATCTTCTGGTCATGAGCATCGTTTGGCATGAATGTGGTGATGTGGTAGACCAACTCGGTAACGTCGTTGTTGTAGACAATGGTGTATGCGCCATCGGCATCCATGGCTCGGTCCAGGCCCTGCGTGTTGAACTTGGCATCTTTCAATTTCCTTAAGGAGCCCAAATCTTCGAGAAATTCTCGGTAGTCAGGTGTTCCTGACGTGTTCAGCAGAATCTGATCTTCCGACGTCTGCTCTTCTCCAACGAAGATAACTCCTGCTTTGTGAGAGTCCAAGGCTGGTGTCCGGTCCAGCATTTGGATCGCTCGCATGACTGCTTCATCTTCCGGTAATGTTATGATCTCGAATGAGCCCAGGGCAGAAGAAGGTCTAGGTATGGCGACTTTGCCATAAGTTCGACCGGTGATATCATCTGGAAATACACTGATGTAGTCCTGAGTGTCATTTTCCACAGTCACCGAAGCAGTGAATCGCGCTTCGAGGTCTCCAGCGCTCTCAAGATCGTGCTCCATGTGAGATGATAAGAGTCGCTGTGCGGAACCTGAAGGTCGCCGAATTGTGACAATGGTCTTTCCGGTCCGCAGCGCTGTTTCAGTTGTGATGACGAGAATTCCTGTAACACGATGTCGGGTGATGATGCGTCCATCACTCGTATCGAAGACGGTACCGAGAGGAGTGCTATTGATCTCATCTGCGTCAACTCGGTCCATGAGGTCAATGGTCACCAGACCCTGATCTTCTATATGCTCCGTTCCATCGATATCGGTATATTTCAGGCAGCTTGTGATGTACTCTTTCAGTCCATGCCGGTCCTCCTTCCGAAGCGCCATATACCAAAATGTTATGACATGGTGCGCAAGGGCATACACGTATTGAGCCATGTCATCGATTGAATTGGTGCTGCTCAAGCCTGCACTTTGCTCAGAGCTTGGAGTCCGCTTGCGCTCCAGCATTGATGTGCTTCGCACGGATTGAAGGTAGCTGTGGCACACGCCGAAAATACGCTTGAAATCTTCTCTGCGCAGACGATCTTGTAGATCCGGAAATCTAGAAAGGCCGGCGAAGAATTCGAGGACGTATAAAGCCAGGTTCCTCTGCGTAACCATCCGAGCCATCTTATTAATGATCGCGTCCATGTAACCAGCCATCACTTCAGGTAGCTCGTAGCATGATATCGTCAGCGCGTGTATGCAGTGGACACTGACAGTGTGGTCTCTGGATCCAGCCACGTTGATAATGGTCACAATGGCTGTCTTGATGTCGTTCCTCGGTAGGCGTTGGTGATAGCTGATGGTCGCGGTCAGAATCTGGACCAATTGAGCCACGATGTAGGATTTGGTCAAGCCGGTCTCATTCGGTGGATCCACAAATGAGTCTGCCATAAGGTGCTCACAGATTGCGGTCCGGAGAGAGTTGATCTGGTGGTGATTGCCATGCCATAGTGCATGATTGCGTACAAGTGCAGGCAGTGACCTCAGAAAAGTGTTGTATACCTCCCATCTCTCGGGCGCACGAACGATCATACCGTGGATGGAATCAACCAAGGCGCTGAGGGAGAGCGACGATAGGCCATGAATGTTTGTCGATCGGACGAGATCGTGGTTGTTCGGTTCACATGTCCAGGCACGGCTCAGATATCCCTCTCCCGCAGCATCTGCTCGCACACTCAGCAGCATTCTCGTCACTTCGACGCTGGACTTTGCGACATTGCAAAGCAATGGAAAAAGCCAGTTTCGTTGCGCCTCCCATTTCTCCTTCTGCGTTTTGTAGGTGAATATTCTGACCAAGCCTCTTGATAGAACCTCGACCGCGGGGACAGCGGTGCCTTTGTCTTGGATCAAGGTTTGCAGGGTGTAGACAAAGTCCCGCCGTGCTACAGTATTGTCACTCTGAAAGTAGGCCGAGACGCTGATATTGATGAACTCTTCCAGCTCTTCGAGGTAAAGGCTTGAGTCGCTGAGCTTTGCCAGCAACTCTCGATAGCCACTTTCCCACGTCTCAAGCTCGTCCAGCATGAGATATCTCTGCCATGGCACAAGTAGTTCCTTCGAGAGTGATGAGGGTAGTGGTCGACGTGCATCCACAAATAGACGTGCTAAATCTGGCTGATGGCGCAATTCGAATTTGCCAATTCTAGGCTCCAACGCAACAAATAGAAAGTCAAGGGTCTCTCTATCCAAGGCATGGACCACGCAGCTGCTGACAAGCTCCAGGCACAGTCCCAATCCGGCGTCGCTAGCAATATCGTGGGTGATGGCTTCATTTCGCAACAGGGTTCCTACAAGGATAGTCACTTGTTCCCGAAGGATGGCGTGATCTCCGACCGACGCCTGTTGTAGTCCAAGCAAAAGCTGAATAGGCTGTAAGGCGTGCGCGCCGATATTTCGGTCCGGCAGCAACTTCTGTGTGGTGATCATGAGGGCGCCTATAGTTGCGGCAAATTTGTACTTGGAGAGCACACTTCGATGGTCACTGATAACATCAAGAAGTGCGTCGGCGAATTGGCCTCCCAGGTGCGAGTCGATGATATGCTGTGCGACCATCCACGCATGCTGGGTCAGCTTCCGGTGTCGGTTGGAGCGGCTTCCTTGATAGTATGCATAGGCAATGAATCGCACTGGCGGAAGGAGCGTGGGGATCAGGGAGTAGATGCCAATGGTGTCGATGAGGGTCAAGGCGGCGTATAGGTCGGTGGTGGAAGAAGACCTGCTTGCGCCATCCAAGGCATGCTGGAGAAGGGTGTCGAGAGCAGGGGGAGCAAACCATTTGGCATGATAGCGGATGGTGGTTGATGCTTCCTGTAGGACAACAGCTAGTGGAGGGTTGGTCGACGATGCTGCTGATGATGCGGGCGACTGCACAGCTATACTCCCCGCTGCATTACAGAGGATGATTTTGCGGGTGAGCTGTTCGCAGATTGATGCCTCGTGAGGGGCTATCTCGGGAGCAGCAGACGAGTCCATGCCATGTGAGAGACGATTGGAAAGGCGGAACGCTAGTGAGTGAGGAGAAGTAAGGGAACTGCAGCATGTGTCAGAATGTTCCAAACATTGTGCGGCGTGAGGCTCCAGGCTGGGTGGTGCAAGTGGCATGGCAGCCTTGCTGAGGCCGCTCGGCATCAGAGTCCATATGCCGTCAAAGGCGACACCACGCTGGTCGCTGGCGTGCGCGTAACCACCTGGAAGTCGGAAGGCACATACCTTGTGACGGAAGACGGACTGGACAGCACAGCAGAACGGGCGGACGATGGCCTCCATTCCGGAGTGGGAGGGACATTGCGAATTTCTGCCTCCGAAGCGGTGCTGCTTTCGTGCATCAATCCTTCATTCTCCCATCAGTCACGCACTGGTGTAGGAGCGAGCAAGCATAGAAGCGGACAAGCAGGCTTGGGTCGGCTCGGCTCGGCTCGGCAGGGCGGCGGCAACCCGGAAGGCCTTGTCGCACAGACAGACAGACAGGCTGAGGCAGTGGCCTATATATCAGCAACTCGCGCTGATTGGCTCGACCCACTTTTACCCCAGTCCCACCCCTTACCTCGAGTTGCTAGCAACTCCCCTAATGAATTTGGTTGAAATGTGCTTTAAATTCAAAAGGGCTTTAGGAATATAGTAATTTCTACTAAGGTCGCTAGCGATAACTTAATAAAGCTAAAGTTAATGTATAGTATAGCTATTACGCTAAATTCGAGATATATCTACTTGCTCTTACTTTATTGTCTATTGCCGCTACCGCTGCCGCTACCGCTACCGCTACCGCTACTACTACTACTACTATAGTATAGATTACTACTAAAGGTCCTACTATTAAATAGCCGCCGCTATTCTTCTAATAAGTATCGTCCGTCGTTAATAAATACCCCTACCTACTAATTACTAAGTTATAATATATCTATTAGCGACTATTATTATAGTATATAATTTAATAGATTTAATAGCTATAGCGTCGGTATATTAGTAGCTGCTATAGAGTAACGAAGACCGCTTAGTATAGTAGGTATATATAGAAGGCGCTATTAGTAAAGGACCTAGCGTATTACGTCTATTAAACTACCGTCGTTTAAAGAAGATATGCTATATTAGAAGGTACTATCGCCTATAGTATATATATTCTATAGTACTAAGTTAGTTACCTACGTAGGCTTAAATTGCGATAGCGGAGAGGGCTAGAACGATAGCGGAGGATAGTAGTAACTGTTTCTATACTAATTAGTATAGAAAGTAGTCGCTATATACTCTAGCGCGCGCTAAGTGCCCTTTTCTAGCGAGAATAGGTCCCTCGCCTATCGTAGTTATTATATTTAGCGAGATTGTTATTACTAGTAGACTAATAGTAAGGCGTAGACTAATAGCGAGGCGCCTACGCCTATATCGACCTACGCTTATTAGATAGCAAATAACGTGCTATTATTATATCGCTATCGATACTACTAGAGCTATTATAATAGCTCTACTACCGCCGATAGTCGTATATATTTAGACTAATACTATATAGCAATATTAGTCCGATAGGCATATAACAAGTTAGCTAGAATAACGGCCTCTACCTACTTTGCCTTCTAATAATAGTCGTATATAATATTCTCGAGTATACTACGTAATAGAAGATAACGGTCCTTCGTAATAGTACGAAGAAGCTCTACCTTACCTTCCTTATCTTCTTCTAGTAGATTCTCGTTAATAAGCTATTCTAAGTATATCTTAGTTAAGTTAATATCGCTATTAAAGCCTTTAGGGTCGAAGAAATAGTCTATATAGTAATCTACCTATTAAGTAGTTATTCTACTGCCTTTAATCTCTTAATCGTACTAGATATAGCGATACAGTTAGTAATACTGCTTCTAGAAGTAATACTAGTATATATTAGGGATATAGTTATCGATCTATAGTTAATATTGTAACTAATTTAGAAGGCCGCTATTAGCGCGCTTCTAAGCGAGTCGATACTGCTTAGCAATAAGGCTTTAAAGGCAATATAGAAGCTCGTTAAACTGCTCGCAATCGCCTTATAGTCGACTAAATAGATAAAGTATATTATCCTTCGTAGAAGCCTTATTAGTATTATTATACTACTTCCTATCTACCTTTAGCGAGTATATAAGAGTGCCGGAGAGTAAGAAGTTGCTCTTAATAGTACTAATATCGCTCTTAAAATCCGAGTAGTAACCCTTAACTAGCGACGTTATATATACCTAAGTAATAGCAGTTAGTAAATACCCGTTAGAAAAGGATAGAAGGTACTATTATATAGTACTTATACGTATAAGTAGTAGGTTGTTCCTCCGCTAGTAGGTAGTCTATATCTAAGCGTACTCGACTAACTATTCTCGTTCTATATAGCTATACTTCTCGTCGTTCTTGCCGCTAGGTAGGGTATTAAAAGTAGCCTATATTCTAACCTCTACCTCTTCCTTAGACTCTACGTATAGTATAACCTATACGAGCTTCTTATAGACCTTCTTATAGGCACTCTTAAGCGGAAATTTGCGGTAGATAGTCTATAACGAGTGTCGTTAGTATAGGTAGGTATAAACCTATAGAAATATATCTCGAATAGCCTATTATTTAGATACCGAGTTATTAGGAATAGACTATCTAACTATTATAACTACTAGCCGCTAGGCTTACTATAACGACCCTAAGAAGCTATATAGCTAAGTGCTTGTTACGATCTTAGCGACTTGTATATACAATTCGAGGTTACGTAGCTTCGGGTTACGTAACCTAATGCCTAAGGCATCCGCCGAGTAGATAAAAGCCTCTCCTACGAGAGAACCTCTCTCTCTTTCTTCTTTAACTCGTTATTAATTTAGATAGCCTCTTAATTAATATCTTAATAGAATAACGAGTTCCTTTATTACCTACGATAACGTCGTAGGTACTATCGTTTATCTATACGAAGAATTATATCGCCGGCGATCGCTATCGCCCTTTTACGCTTCTCGTTATACGATAGCGCTAACAAACCTTGTATCGTATTAAGACCTATATACTAATCTATATTAGGTATAGTAAGCTACTCGACCGTAGTAATACCGCCGATTTGTTATAGATCCTTTACGACCGCCTACTAATTATAGTAGCGGCTCGGAATATATAAATACGCCTAACCGAGTAGGAATAGCTAGTGCCTAGTTAAACGGTATACTAGAGCTATAACTACCGTAGGGTATACGACCTAGCCTTATAGATATCGATAGCGTACTATATTAGCCTCTACCTAGTAATCTCTAAGACTTCTAGTAACTCTTTAGTAGAGTAAATAAGTAAGAGGCCGCCGAATACATCTTTTAGCGTATAACTATACTATATTAGTTAGTAGCTACTCTTCGTTAGCAATACTAGTAAGAGGTAGAAATACTTAAGTAGGTATAATAAGCTTATTATAAGACTAATATCTACCTTAATAACGAGTTAGCGTAGGCTCGCGCTAAAGTAGAACACTAATACTAGGCCGCCGAAGTAGTACGTAATATACTAAATATCGCGTACTAATAACGTAATAACCTAGCTTAGTAAGCCGTACGTCTATAATAATAATAGTCTTCTATAGAAGATATCGCCCGCCGAGCTAGTAAAGAAGCTACTTATACTCGTCGTAACGCTAAGGCGTCCTTATTACGCAATCCGGTCGGCTAAGAACCTATATTAGATAATAGCCGACCCTATTCCGTCGCCCGTTTAATATATATCTAGTACCTAAAGATACTATACTAGGTAGTAGTAGTTCTCGTCGACCTCTTAGTACCTTCGACTACCTTAGCCGCTTACGCTTCGGTCGTCTAAACGCTAACTCTAAGGGTTAGGATAATTCCTTTAATACTAACGCTAACTTTAGTTACAACCTAGTACTACGATCTCGCGACCGACTAGACCCTCTCCGCTACCTTCGATTTAACCGTAGCTTCGACGACGATAATAACTATACTAGATATAGTAAGAGCGAGAAGTATCTAGATCTAGAGAAATACGATAGAGACCGTAAGAAGCTAAAGCCCTTTCTTACTAAGCTTACGATTAAGTTAACAATTAATAATAATTGCTTTCTAATACTATAAGACTAGTTAATATATACGTATAGTTATACTACTAGTAAAGCCCGCTCGATAGTCTAGCTATACGTCTGTTACGACGAATAGAGCGTAATTATAGATTTCGACGATCTCGATAACTTCCGCAATCTATTAGTTAATACCTTCGGCGATCCTAACGAGGTCGCTACCGCTAGTTATAAGCTAGACAACTTAAAGTAGAAGAATAAGGAGTTTACTTACTACTTTATAGAGTTTAATCGACTTAACGCCTTACTTAGTTATAAAGGCCGAGCTTAGGTTAACGCTTTTAAGCGTAGCTTGTCTTCCGAATTAAAAGTAGCGCTTAGTAATATATATAATAAACCTACCGACTTCTTAGTATTATATCGACGACTAACTATTATCGATAATCGACTTTGCTAGTATCGCGTAGAAAGTAGCCGCGATAATACTAAGCTAGGATTAAGTAATACTACTAACTAAGGGTCGAATAACAACCGTAGTAGTAATAATACTAGCGGCTCTAATAATTAGTACGCTCTATAAGGATATATCGCTCCGCGTAATAACTAAGAACAATTTACCTCGGCGAATAATAATAACAACCCTAGTACTACTACGACTACGACTACGACGGTCCGCGACCTAGATACTATAGACCTCTCTACTACTTAAAGTTAAGGTTAGGGTTAGGGTTAGGGTTAGGATAATCGCTACCGTATAACGATCGAAGAGAGAGATCGCCGCCGCTACGAGGGTTTATACCGCTTCTATAGTAGTAACTACGTCTACTCCGATACTACTTATCTAGAGCTTATCTGCCGCGCCTAAGGCTATAGCAATCGTCTAAATACTAATATCTCTACCTTTAGTACTACCGCTCCGACCGATCTACCTCCTATAAACGATAAGGACGCTAATAATAGTAGCGATAAGGAGGGAAAAGTATAGCTCTTAAACAAAGTCGCGTTTAAGAGCCTATACCGATAGAGTTACTTATACCGTTATTTCCGAAGAACCTATACTACTATTATAGAAAGAAATATCGATAGTAGAAAGATTTAAAGATTAGTTTATTAGTATTATTAGGAAGTATTATACCCGAGGGCGATAATTAATATCTCGTCTTATATTATACTCTAACGGCTTATAATAAGCCTTAGTCTAGCTTGCTAGATATAGGGTAGGATATCGAATACTAATTATTAGTAATAGTTAATTACGGTTATACCGGTTTATCTTTTATTAACTTATATTACGCGTACTAATACTAGCTCCCTATCTATAACCTAAAGGAGCCTCGTAGATTAACTACTTTTAACGGTAGTTTCGTAGTAG